TCTCTCCATTTTTCCATTTTTTTCTTCTTCCCAAAACTGTTTTCTCTCTCTTCATCTTATCGTGTTTATTTCCTTTCTTCTTCATTCTTTTTTGTTTCTTCTTTACTCTTTTCTCTTCTTTCTTCTTTCCTTCCTGTCTTCGAATCTATTTCATCTTCCTCCTTTTTTCCTTCTTTCCTTTATACCCTTATTTACACTTTTCTCGTTTTATTTGTACCCTGCCCACCCCACTTTCTTTCCTCTTCTTCCTCGAAGAGAACTCCAGGTCCCTCTACGTACCCTTTCCATCTTCGCAGATTTTCAGATGCTATCTTTTGATGTCAACCAAGGAGGAGCCAAAGGGCGGCTGAAAAAGCACCGACCGAAAGTGAACCGGACTCCTACCAACAGAAAAGGCAACCCCTGCGTTAATTATCAACGCATGTTGCGGTAAGGTGGAATGAGTTGGGTGTTTCACATGTAGGCAGTTGAGTGATATGGTCGAAAAGGAAGGCGGGTGAACAAATTCATGGCTGCAGGCTAACGATTCGTCTCATTAGAACATGTGTGTGTTGGTCTATATATGGCTGAGAAAGAAAGAAAGAAAGAAAGAAAATTCTATGCTATGAAGACAGAGAAAGCTGCCAATAAATATATAATAATTTAAAATCCTAAATAAGTTTAGTTTTAATATAAATATACACATTTATACAATACCATGCCAAAGGATAAAGCCTATTTTTAAAATCTTACTATGACTAGTATATTCTCACATTTGAATCGGTAACTATACGATTTCCAGTTATCATCGTGGAGTAATGGATAGCGGTTCGGATTTAGGGATCGGAGAGCCGAGTTCGAATTCCAGTCGAATCAATTAGATTCATTTACGTGCTAATACTCTTCTCTCCACACCCCCAGCTTTTGGATAAATAGCAGGACAGACCTGTTCAGCCTTGGATGTCAACTGGTCTACTGCAGAACGAAGTGGCAACTTACTGCGGGAAAAATCTGCCTCGTCAGTCATGTACCGAAAGATACATGATCGTCTAAGCGTGTATCACGCATGGTACATAACTGGCTGACTATCTTGATACATTGCTCATTCTTCTTCTACGTGCCGTGACTCTTCAGGGCATTGTCAATCATGGCCCTTCACAACTTCTTGTCCTTTGTAACTCTGGTGTCTTTTTTTTATCTCCCCTAAACCTTGATCTGCCAACCAACTAGGTAGGTTATGCGTTGCTTTCCTCTATCCTGCTTGTGTGAGTATCAATTTTTCCAATCCTTTTTTTCTTTTCCTAGAAATTTCAACTCTCTCTCTCTCTCTCTCGCTCTCTCTCTCTCTCGCTCTCTCTGATGTTAATCATAAGTGTCCTTTACAACGTGTAAGCAACTAAAATATTTCCTAATCTCCTCACAAATGAAGAAGAGACTTGAAGCAACAGAAAGAAGGATGCTCAGTATACCGTGTTAATGAACATGTGAGCAACGACGAAATTTTGAGAAAATGAAAACAAAAAGGACACATATTTAACATCAGAAAGAGACATTTGAAATTTTTGTTGCTTTTCAGCTGTGAGAAAATTGTTCAGCTTTACAGCCTGAACTGATAACATAACATTTTAGAGCTTTTTTCTTTGTTTCTAACGAAATTTTCCTGTTTTTTAATACTTTGCTTAGATTTTGAAAGGCATATTTCGTTATCCCAATGAGTCTTTCAGTGTTGCACTTTACATCCTTTGTCAAAACATTTCCTAGTTATTTAAATTGTTTTACTTGTCTGATTTTGGTATCTTCAATATGTAATTGGCATGTTGGACTGTCCCTTTTGTTAACAGCCATAGACTCCTTCTTCTTGATGCTTAGTCCTTTCTTCTCGCTTTCCTTCACTACCTTCTGTAAGAGTTCTTGTAGTTTTCTTTCCATATCTGCTATCAATATTGTGTCATATGCATATTTTATGTTGTTAAGATTGTGGCCGCCAGTCACTTTGTTTTTCATTGTCAAAATCACTCTTTCCTCATTTTTCTATGACTTATGTTTAATAAGGAAAATTTATTTAAATATCGAATTAAAAAGCAAAACGAAACTATTAAATAACCAAAGTTTTAAGCCGTGGATCAAATCCTAAGTCAATTACTTCTTTTATTGTTGAATGAGGTAGAAACAAATCAACTGAAGTAAATAAATAGACTCTATTAATTTTCATCTTAAATTAATCTTTTAAATATTTGCTTTAAATTCTCTCTTTATTGGCACAGTATCAGAATTCCTTTTTATCCAAATGAATTACTCTATTTATAAACTGTGCCACAATGCTAACATGTTCATTTAGGTGACCATTGTTGCTGTTATAAAAATACAGAAGAATGAGAAAAATCGATTTAAGTACAATTTTGAAAAGTAGACCATTTCTTGATATAGACAAACTGAAAATTGAACAAATGCTTATAAAATATACCGTTGCAATCTTATATGATATGCAAATCAAATAAATACCTATACATATAGACGCAGGGTCACAAAAATTGAAATTAGGCAGATGGAAATTGGGTAGACGGAATGACATTGATGGTTGTGCAAGCACGAAGTTAAAAGTCATTGTGACCGAAAGTTTGTGTTTTGTTCAAATTCTTGATCTCGCCAGATTAGTGAGCTCTGTAGGTATTGAACAAACACAAATGTGCCTGAGCAGGCATCTACAACCAGGATTAGCTAGCCGCCCTAATAGATGGGTGTGGTTGGAAAGTAGTAGCTGGCCATTTTGACAAATTTGTTAGTGTTATGTAATTTTGAATGCACTTTTTGGTTTCTTTCTCTACCCCTTTCTTTTAATTTCGTTGATATTTTTCGATCTTTTTTTAAAGTATTTGTTTATTTTTATTTGTTTCTCCTTTCTTCAAATAATCTTTTTATTTTCTAGATTTTTTTCCTTTCTTTTCCATTTTTCATTCTCGTTTTCTTTCTTTCTCTTGACGCCATATTTCTTTACCGTATTTTTACTTCACTGACATTGATAAACCAAAGCCTTATCATTCTTACCTAAAGTTTCATAGACTCTTTCAGCAATACTCGTTAATAGATCAGCAGTTAACCTAGAGAATCGAAAGCCATATTGCTTATCCGATTGAAGCCCATGTGATGTGAGCTGCTTAACGAATTCCGAGTTAATTTGAGCCTCCAGTACTTTGCTAATAAGAGGTAGAAGGTTAATAGTTAGAAGGATCAGATGCCTGAGTTCTTAAAGACTGAAACTACAGAAGAGGATTTCCAACAAACAGGAAAGCAAGAAGCAGTGAATGTATTGTGGAATTTAGAGAGAACAAGAGCGATTTCAGGAGCACATTTCTTAATTACTAATGCAGGGATACCATCAAGTCCATATACTTCGTGTGGATGCTTTTTGGAAATGATAGCAGAAACTATAGACGGAGTTAGATGCATATCACATAATAGAGACGTTGTTCTAAGTAGAAAGCTAGGCAAAGATACTCCAGATGAGTGAAGTGTAGAATTTGAAGAAAATTTTACAAGTAAATCACTCTGTTTTAAGAACGGAATATATCAATACCTCAAATATTTAACACACTATTACAAATCCGGCGGTAGTCACGAGAACCAAACTTGTTTGAGACTATGCGGTGCATCATTGTATCATCAAACAAAAACTTAGCCTCTTTGAGGACACATTTACAATTAGTGCGAGTAGACACAAGTGATTCCTTTGGGCTATAGCAGCTGAACAGGCCGATATGAACCAAGAAGTAGATTATGGTTTCACCTGTTATTTCCGAGAAGGTACAAAAGCATCGATGCCTGCTTTAATCCAAGAAGAAACCTCTGTGGCATAGTTCTCAATAGGAATTTTAAGAATATCAATCCAAAAAGGCGTCACGAAGAAAGTAAATCCCAGTCTGTACGCTGATAATAGAAAGAGTTTTTTTTTTTGTAAATGGGTGATTTCTTTCTAATAGATGACTCGAAAGATATATCAACAAATACTTCAGCGTGATTCGAATTGCCAAGAATACAAAGTTGTGATACTCGACAAGAACTAAGGAAGGATAAAAGGAGCAAATTAAGTTAAGAAGCATGTTGACCAGGGAAACGAGTAGAGAAATTCATTATTTGACTGAGAGATTAAGCAATGGAAAAATTGAAACATTATTTACATTATTCGGACTATTGTCCTCATCTTTGTCGCCATATTTATTACAACTTTTCGGCCGTTGTATGCTCCGGCCTTCTTCAGGTGTTGGAATGTCAGAAATTTTTCCACTGCTTTAACCGGGTATTGAACTCACACTCTTTGGGTCCTGTCACTGGATCTAACGAACGCCTTTATCCACTGTGCCATGTGTCCTTAAGGCAGTGGAGAACTTTCCGAGGGAAATTAACAGGAGATAACTGATAACTGACATCCATTAGACATGGCACGTGGAACTAGAACAGTCTACCTCAGTGAGCGAAATAAAGGGTTCAGTTCGACATTCCAACCACCTGAAGAAGGCCGGAGCGTACAACGGCCTAAACGTTGTAATAAATATGGCGACAAAGATGAGGACAATAGTCCGAATAATGTAAATAATGTACATAATACTTCATCTCAGAAATATAGAGAGATACTGAAAATTTGAAAGTCTGAATACCGACAACATTGGTAACATTAGAATGTTTAAGCCATTTGACATAATGAGAATTAAAATCATCAAACACAAAAATATTTGCAGATGAATGTAGATAGAGAGAGCCATTTCTATATTCAATATCTATCTATCTATCTATCGTTCGCCCATTCTTTCAATACTGTTCTATTTTATATCTTTCTTACATCTTTTTTCTGTGTATTTTCTACTCTTGAAATTTACATCATCGGTTTTATATTATTGATTAATATAATAATTTATGTTATTTATGTCTAATTTATTTCATAATTACATCGGTTATTGGTTTGTAGAAATTCATTTCAAGAAATATTTATGGCAAAGGTTGGCATAAAAAAAGTAGCTTTAGAAACCTTAAAGTAGCTTTAGAAACCTATTTTGTTTATTGGCATTTATTACGTTTAGACTAAAACCTAGTGATGAAAAAAATAAAATAGATAAAATAGAAAATAATTATTATTTTCTTTAAACCATGCGCCATACCTTCAAATTTAGAAATAGTAATTATACGCACATAAATTTCTGTTTAAAAATCATGCGCACATGATTTTTGCAGACAATATTATATTTAGCCATTGGCGGGGATATATTTTAATTTGTTCACCTTTTTTATATTAATGAAATAAAAATACGTTGTGGGCGAGTTTGTTTCCAAGGAGAGAAATGTAATTACCAAAATAAAAATCGATTTTTTACAGACAAAAATTTGAAATATAAGGTTTGTTCTTTTCGTGATATATTTACCGTTTTCAACAAAGATCACAATAAAAATTGTTTCAAGTTTTAAATAATATATTAATTCTTGATAACAGTAATATAAATTAAACTCCTTTGCTTTTTACTATTATTTTGGTAAATATGGGTAACTTTTTCGAATTATTTTTATGGTCAAATTAGTTATCTCCAAAGGAGACAACAAAGAAAAAATAAGATTTAGACTTGGAAGTGCAAAGTAATTCAGTTTTGAAAAACAGAAAAATGGTTGGCTGAATCCGCCAGGCAATGAGATTTATTTAAACAAATTAGAACTATTGCTTTCATTGTCAAAAACGAAAATTTTACTTTTAAAAAGCAGAAGAATAAGTGAGAAAGAAAGAAAGAAAGAAAGAAAGAGAAGAAAAGAGAATAGAAAGTAAGGAAAAAGAAAAAAAGAATGAAATTACATTGAATGGGTGAGCAACGTGGGAGTCGTATTTGCGAGATTCATTCTGACTTACTCTTCCGTAGTGATCCATCGATATAAAATTTTTAACAAAATAAACCAATGCTTTATTCACACTAGAATGTTTGTGCAAAACTGTTCTCGATTGGATAAGATTGACTAATTCAAGTAATAATGAGACTAAGTGTTTATTTTGAGTATCAATTTTTATGTAAGAATAAAAAGTTTTCTATGTGCCGTATCCCACCAGGTCGTGGATAATGATGACTCTCCACAACTTCCTGTTCATCGTAAGGTTTGTCTTTTTACTATCAGTTCTACTGTCCTGTTCTGCCAACATAAGCACGTTAGGTAGGTTATTCGCTGATTTCCTCTGTCCCTCTAGCCTTCATTAAGTCCCGTGAGTAGCAAATCTGCCAAACCCTCTTTCCTTATTAGGTACTTTAGACATTTCAACTGTCACCTTTCGATTTTAAGCGTCATTTTTACATTCATTTTCTTTAGAAATTTCTCGTTACTCACATGTTCAATTTTCCTATTTCTTAATACTTTGCTTAGCTTTTGGAAGGCAACTTTCGCTATTCTATTCGGAGTCCGGACTTCGGTTAAAACATTTTCTGAATAATTAAAATTTTGTACCTATTTCATTTCGATGTTTTCAATTAGTATTTCGTGTATTAGTATTTTCCATTTGCTAACAGCCGTACTTTTAGTCTTTTCTTCTCGTTTTCCTTTAATATTTTCTGTCTCACAACCAAAACCTGTTTTACTTATGTCTGCTATTGCCTTTCTTTGTAATCTTTTTTTATGATATCTCATACACGAAAATCCAAAGATTATATTTAGCCATACGTCCCTGGTCTTTCTTTAAGTATTATCTCCTTTCAGGATGTAGAGAATCATGGCTCCCCCAAAGTTTCCTTTTTTTATCTGTAAACTGTACGTTGCTATGATTTTGATGGGTAAAGAAGGTGGAACGCTTTTTTTTTCTTGCCTTATCCACGGTTTTTAATTCAGCGTATTTCTTGTCCCAGACATGTTACCAAGCAAAGCCATAGAACTTAGTTTACACAGCTACCTTACCAATAGCTGTCGGGCGAGAAGAATCGACTTCATGTCTTAGTTAAAAGTACCAGTGTGAAGTGAACAGAAAATGTTTTTGAACTCGGCTTGCCAATTCTATTTCCTGTGCTCTTAATCGCCAATCCACTCCTCACGCCTCCACTCTAAATACGTAAGCAATAAGGATTTAAGTCTTGGTGGGGGTCTGAAAAAAGATGTCTGAATCATGTGTATCTCTCCCTCTCTCTCTCTCCCTCTCTCTCTCTCTCTCTCTCTCATTCTCTCTCTCTATAAATATATATATATATATATATATTTGGCTGAGCACTTTTTTGCATTTATTTAATACTCAAACATGGAAAAAACTACTAATTTCGGAATTTCGCTAAAGAACATTCCCAATACAAACAAACGGAAATATTTTGAAAAACTAGTTTTGAAAACTGAAGATCTTATTAGAAGAATGAGATGGAAAGCTCATTTCTTCCTTCTTAATCGGGATGTTTCAAATATATCAGATCCTTGTGGTTTCAAAAGTTTGAAAACTGCACTCCCATTGAGCGCTTACACAGCTTTGAAAACGATCTACTAAGCATTATTAACGATATCTCTTTTCATAAAAATAGGAATCATTTTCAGAGGCATTTAGCTTCTATTGTTAAAGATATTAATGGTTCTAACAAAACATTGTTAAATCTGACAAAACTGCTAATTTTTATAATTTTAATCCTAAGGATTATAATGGTTTAATTAAAAAAATTAACCAAAAATTATAAGAAGTTGAATATTAACGTTACTAATTTAGCTGACAGAATTAACACTGCCTGTAAAAATATCAGTGATAAACTTAAAATTAGCAATAAGGTTAGTAAGCGCTGTACCAAAGAATCGTATGTCCTAATTAAAGATCATAAACCAGACTTTGAGGTCAAACTACCCTACCTGACCAGAAATCAGAAAGACAAGCAAAGTTATCCTGAATATAGTCTACAAACAAATTAAACTACGCCTTGGACTTTTACAATGGACTGGCACCGCAGATGTCATTAATTTGTTCAAAGGAATTAACAACAAAAGAAGGTGATCTTTTATACAATTTGATATCGTCGATTTTTACCCCTCCATTTCCAAGGATCTTTTTACCTTAGCTTTAGAATTTACCAAGGAATAAATACACTAACATTTTCAGTGACAACATAAGTATAATAATGAACTGTAGAAGATATGTTCTCATTAACAACAATGAACAGTGGATTAAAAACTTCGATATCTCTATGGGATCATTAGATTCTGTAGAGTCTTCTGACCTGGTAGGTTTATTTATCCTATATATGAAGATGTTAATGTTGATAGTATAAGGTTATACAGAGATGATGGTCTCATGGTTATAAGAAATTCTACTAAAATCAAGGTTGACAGGTTGAAAAATTAAGTGAAATGATTTTCTTGATGTTACGTTAGATCTTATTAATGATGTATTCCAAACTTATATGAAAAATAATTCTAACCCAATACATATTCATCCCAATTCTAACCACCTTCCATCTGTAATCAAACATATACCTTCATCTATAGAACGTCGGATTAGCAAAAACTCATCAGGCAAAAATGTGTTTGATAAATATAGATGTGTTTATAATACTTCTTTAAAAATAGTAGTTACAAATACGCTGAAATCGAGTATAGAAAATATGATAATACTGATCTAAGGAAAAGGAATAGAAATAGGAAAATCATTTAACCAATTAATCTGTACTAAGTTAAGCCAGAAGTTCCACCATTTAATTGATAAACATTTCCCAAAAAGTAACCCACTTAATATAATATGTAAAAAAACAAACTAAGATTAAGTTATAGCTGCACCGATAATCTTGAGAAGATTATAATGGAGTATAATAATAAAATTTTAAACCAATTTAAAAATTTTTGGATAATAAAGCACTTCCCAAGATAAATACTGTTAATATTATTAACTAGTGTAATTGCAAGGATTCTAATGAATGCCCATTGTTTAACCACCTCTCTTGTTTATCTATGTATTATTTCTACAATAGAGAATCCAATTGTTGGAAAATTGTATCTTGGTAGTACTAATTCTTTTAAGACTAGGTAGTATCAACATATCTTATCCTTTACCAATTGTACTCCTAAAAATAGTACATCTCTTTCTAAATATTTTTGGAATTTAAAGAAAGCTAATAAAACTCCTAAAGTAAAATGGAAATGTTTTTTAAAAAAGAGCTAGAACATGTAGGTCTTTAAATGAACCCTGTTTTCTATGCCTACATGAAAAATTAGAAATTATCAGATTTTCTGATAAAAACTCCTTATTAAACCAAAGTGAATTGACTGTAAATTGTAGGCATAGCCTACCTTTACATTACAATATGTTTAAACTTAGATAATACTTTTTCTTATAGTAATAATCAGTAGATGAACTGTTGTGCACCTTATATTGTTTACTATTCTATTTGTATGCTTCATTTTGATTTAATATTGCTTAGTATTGGTGTTTAGTTAGCGCTATTAATGTTATATTGATATACAGGTGGTTTATTAGTAATTAATATCTTACATTGATTAGTTGGTATCATTAACATTTTATATGGATGCTCTCTATTTAACAGTTGCATATTAATTTGCCAAAGTATTTCTCTATTTTTTGATACGGTTTTTTTCGAATAGTTATTTACCAGTTTTTTAAAGGGGCTTTTATTTATCAACTACAAAATTTTATGTAATAAGCGGAACGAGCAAATAACTAGTTAGTATTATGTTAAATTAACTCCCCACCGCTTTTGTTTTTACTCATGTGGAAAGTTGAACGTCAGACTTCGATACATATTATGAAATGACGTAACAACTCGTATCTACCTATAAGATTTATATAGGATTTATATGCAGACAACTTCGTCTCATGACCTATATTAAAAAATTTTTCCGGTGAATTTGAATTTAGCGTAGGTCACATTCAATTGGTTACGACAAAACTCACAAACCTATTCTGCTTTTGAAATTAATCTTTCACTCGCCACTACTTCAAAATCGTTCGAAGAGACACAGTTATAGTGTCGAGACATAATTGTCATTATGTAGAAAATTTTAACATGTTTTAATATCCTAAAATAAATAATAATTAGCTAAAGAAATCATGACAATTCACCGATTTTGTGGAGAGTCATAATCGTCTACATTCTAAAAGTACATGGCATTTTTTAAAATCAAGATTTATGGCAGACCAGATACTAGTAGAATGTTTACGAGTGTGGAGAAGAAAGAAGAGAGTGCAGGCAAAAACAGAAAGAGGGAAATTGAGTGATTAATGACAGAGAATTAATATATTACGAACATGTTGCAGATCCAACAAAAACACGAAAGTTAGGGTTCCAAAAAAATATTCCATTTATTATAAACCTTCCTGATTTTGGCCATCCGTATATACGATATTCAAGACATCTCACCTCTCTATTTTCTAATGAAAATGCCAGGAAAATAATACTGAGTGGTTTTAGTAATTTATTTTACAGTCGAAGATTTAAGTAAGTTGACATGAATCAGCTAAAATTCAGCGACCCCTTTTCACAAAACAAAAATCGTGACGTTTATTAATTGTGAATAGGTTAAAAGAGAAAGTTTTAAGTGATTCATTATATGGAACCAGATGAATTTAACAAATAGATGGGATTATGTTATCGGTAATAAGGTGAAATATTATCTTGATTAAACATGTATCAATTATGACCAAAAAATCATTTATTTCTTTTCCATCTTTAAACGTAATATGTATGTGAAGTTTCTTCTAAATTGAATCGGCTACAGTGTAGAAATTCCTTTTCAGAATTTTCTTACTTTAAATTTGAACGTTATTATCAAGCTGCATGATAATTTCCCCCCACAGTAATAAAGTCTAGTTAATATTGCTTTAATTAATTTACATTGCCAGTAGCATTTGTTGTCGGACTGGTTTTAGGCTGCGAAAGAAGTTATGCTTACTGAATAAGGATAAAATGTGAAAAGATGAGATGTTGCTTGAGATGTTGTTAATGCTGGTTGAAAAAAAAAAAAAGAGATTCCGTGAAAAAGGAAAAAATTGCTTTGAGACAATAAAAAAAAACACTATACTGCAAACCTGGATATTATCTGGGTAGGCGGAAACCCGTGGGTGGAGAAAAAAATCTCAGGGATTTCAAAGCAAATTAGATTGGATTAACTTACATTCGTGACACGTGAAGTAGATTTAAATATTTAAAAAAAAAACGAAATATTCTTTCTTTAAAAATAAGTTCAAGGTCTGACAACGATGTAACTAGAAATAGTTTTATATATATATATATATATATATATATATATATATATATATATATATATATATATACAAAAGAAGTATGAGAGGAAAACATTCCCTGCTTTATCAATACATTTATGAGTCATGTTAACTAATGCATTATTTGATGTCATAGATATCAGCCACGATTTTACTTCTGTAAATATTATCTCTCATGGGAGTTTAAATTAGATTACGGAATATACGCACTTATTTATTTCTACGTCACACTGGATCATGACAAGAGAGGTAATAAATAAACCTAATTCCCTGACCAAGTTTCTTGTAAGAAAAGTATGATTTGCCTCCAGAAAGCAAATTCAAGTAAAATTTATTAGTTCAGTTAGATTAATTAATTTTACATGTTACCACTTAGGTTATTTAATGTATATGGCACCCAGGGAGGATCAAATACACTATTCACTAATATTTGTCAAGAGGACTAGTGTCACTAAACCTTTTCCCACGCCGAGGCACCTGAATCAAAAGCATAAAACACAATGGGAAAAAATAATATTTAATTTAATATTTAATTTTTATATACAAGAAAAATATTAGGAAAGTTAATGACAATGTAAAAACATTTTCTATACGACGCAGGTGGTCCTTTAGAACATCATCGGACTAAAGTGGTTTATGTTGATGCATGCACACGAAGGAGAGAGACGCTGAAACATATATATATATATATATATATATATATATATATATATATATATATATATATTTCATATTTGTTAACCAATTGCATTTAGTTTCTTTTCCTATTTGCTTATATTTTATCAGCTATTGTTATGAAGTCTCCCATATTGTGATAATAGATCTGCCAAGAAAGGAGAAATGTTGTAAGAACGTGGGCTAAAATTTAAAGCGGGTGATTTAACAATTAAAGCACGTTCTAGAACACTCAATTAAAAATATAACAAAATCTCTATGTAGCAGTCTTTAATCGAATTCAAGTGTAATTGCCTAACAACACGAAGATTTTAATATCATTGTAGCGACCAAGAAGATTCTTTGATAAATAACTTAATGGTACATACAATTAAAAAAACAACACAGATAGATAGATAGATAGATAGATAGATAGATAGATAGATAGATAGATAGATAGACTCACCTGTAAATTGTTCCGAGACACGTTTAAAAAGTTCTTGAATGGCTGTTGTATTGCCAATGAATGTGGCCGACATTTTGAGTCCGCGTGGTGGAATGTCGCACACAGCTGTTTTCACATTGTTTGGGATCCACTCAACGAAATAACTGCTGTTCTTGTTCTGCACATTCATCATTTGCTCATCGACCTCTGAAAAATCAATCAAATACGATTGAATTAATAATAAAACAACAAGGCAATTAATCAGTTAAGCAATGTTATTGGTCTTGCACTGGCATCTCAGCTTCAGTCACCTTCCCACCATCGTAACGTAGCTTTCCTGTACCCTTCTGCAAACATTTTCACGGTAATTGCTCAGATGAGCCTTCCTCTTTGATTCATCAACTTCTTGAATAGTATTAGATTGGCAACTAGGCCTTATAAGTTCACTGTTCAAATGGTTAGATGTTCTTTGCTAATAGTTTCTTCTCACTCTACTCCGGCTTTTTACTTCCCTATCAACTACAATATTCAACAATTTAAATTCATCGTTAATCATCGTCTTCTGTTCCCTTGAATCCTGTTCTTTTATTTTCCTTCTTTCTCAATAAATTTCTCAATTTCTTTCAAACTCAGTAAGCCCTTACGCCTCAGTGCCTTTTATCACTTTATTTTCGATGAAATGATTAAAGTAATATTTTTACAAAATCTTTAACCTTAAATTTCCTACTGTTCTTTAAAACAGATATTAGATTTGAAGAGATTTTTAAATTGCTTTGAAATTAATTTTTAATCGAACTGGGAGGAAGTGAGTTTGCTTTAATATCAATAAGCAATATCTAAAATCTTTTATTTAGGAACCTAAAATAAGTTTTATACATCATGTCATTGGCCCTTTCTTATAATTTCCCGACTACTCCTTCATTAGGTGACACAGAATTCAGGGGATTTTCATTTTCATCAATGTGTCTAGATGGGTGTTTGATCGTGTACGCGCCTAAGATATATATATATATATATATATATATATATATATATATATATATATATATATATATATATATATATATATATATACGCGGTATTTAGTGGAAAGTGCTCAATATCGGTAATAGAGCTAACATATACGGTTGCATGGATAGTAGTTTGTAACCCCAGGTTTCACGTTTTTTGCGACCTCCAGGAAAAAATAAACCAGTTAGTCTGAAGATCGTGAAAGGGTGAAGCCAGGGGTTACAAACTAATATCCATGCAACCACGCATATATATATATATATATATATATATATATATATATATATATATATATATATATATATATAGTAAATAACACACAAAAATATTTATATTTAACAAAAAAGTTTCCGTTTTTCGAATTATTTTTATAAATATTGTATTTTTCTATTTGCGTAAAATGTTGGAACACTATATGTGTGTTTGCACGCGCGCGTCTCTAGTTTATGTGTGCGCGTGTGAATGTGAATGTGTGTGTGTGTGTGCAAATATCAACAAAGATATTGATTGATTATGACTGTTTTACAAACAAAAAAAAATAATTAAATAAATAAGCCATGAAAGTTGTAATCCATATTGCAATAAATTTTCCGAGTTCCCGTGATTCGTCTTTCTCTCGGTCATTATTTTTAGCCCTGAACACAGCCCAAAAAATGACGATTATTCACCCGGACATAAATCAATAGTAGAAAATGCTACTGCAGTATGACGTCGAATTGTGAACAGACCTTAGCGCATCGTACGATTTAAGAAAAATAGCAAGTCTCTTAGATTTGAACGGAAGGTGCTGTTAATTGAAAACACTTCTGGAACATTCTATTCTTTCATTGTTTAACATATTTGGCTCCATTACGTTTTGTGCGATTATTTGTAGCATCATTTAAAAAGCATATTTCGGTTTCTTCTCAATATTACGATGCAAGCAATTTTTACTGATATACAGACGCATAACCAATATATTATGCATATATACATACATACATACATACATACATATATATATATATATATATATATATATATATATATATATATATATATATATTTATATATATATATATATTTTTATATATCAAAAGACAGTATTTTGGAAATTATGTGAGAAAGTGGTAAAGAGTTTATTTGTGACACGTTTCGTCCTTCAGGGCTTAATCGGACTAAATATCTATGATACAGCCAAATAGTCTGTCTGTGAATGATAATATATATATATATATATATATATATATATATATATATATATATATATATATATATATATCCATTAGATGTTATGAAAATCACATCGACCTCAATAATTTAGAATTTGTTTTGAACATTTTTTGTCAAATTTAAAAAAAAATAATTTTGATGTCAAAACAAAGCTTGGGTTAAATGTTTAGGTAGTTTCAATGTGTATTATTAAAGTTAATGGATTTATTATAAAACCTGCAATCTGTGTTATGCAAAACCTTAAAATCACTTTTTACTTCAATACAATTGATCAACACCTATATTAGAGAAAATAACAAATATATATAAGTCTTTTAAGCATTTGCATCTTGAACCTTCCTCTCAATAACAGCTAACAGTCTATTATTCATTGATTTTGTTCTTTTTCTTCAAAAGGTTCAGTTTCTGACATGGTGGTTTTAATTGCTTCCTATAGTCCTGCTTTACTGTCATATTATTTTCTACCATGATATAATTTCATCTTCACAGTTGACTATAAATTTTCGATTTGACTTGATGGTGACCATTCCATTGTCTTCTCTGTAAACGTTTTACGCTCAAAAATCCCTGGTAATCTTAGATACGTGAGAAGGAGCATTATCGAGCATAAATACACACTTTACTTTGAAACTGCGAGGCTGGAATTGTAGCATTCAAAGAAAATCTTGTCCATGAATCACAATAGTTAGCACCGTTCAGTTTAACTCATTCATTGACTATGAATAGTTTAATAATATTTTTATCAACAATTCCAACCCAATTCATCACATTGCCGTCTCCTTGTTGTCCTTTTTTAGCCACAGGCACATCTGCATGGAATAAAGTCCATTGGCACATCCATTAGGTCTATTGAGTATCATCCGAAATCCGTCCGTGGAAATTTCTTTAGAAAGGGCAATTTTCAAGTAGTTCGTGGTCCAATTTTGATGCTTTAAAATATTTGCTTTACTGAGAGGAGTTTGCTTAGGAGATTCCTTGACAGAAGTACTATAATCTTTTGTCATTCTTGACTCCTTCATTTCCAGTCGGTTGAGAACTGATCAAAAGTGGTTGTTCCACTTTAACTCGTTCCTCTCGAGAAGATAAATTCTTAACGCCTCTTATCCTTTGCTTCGAGTTCTCAACTTAGTTATATTTTAAAAAGCTCACTTTATTGTTTGATAATATCTGCGAAGATCCTTTGATATATCCAATGTAAATATTACCTCACTCAATAACTTTGTTAATTCCTGTTTTTGAGCATTTTAAATCCTTTCTATTGCACATGTTCTAACACATATTATGGAAAAAAAGAAAAAGAAATTATTAAATTTCAGAGGCCTTAAATCAAAATTAGTTTAATGTGCATAATAACTTCGAACTGTAATGTTTATAAGAAACCCAATAACATTATTAAGACATGTTGAGGCTAAAAATATGAATCAATGATTGTTTTGAAGTCTAAATTAATAGTTTAAAATTTGACAAAGCAAATTCAAGTTATTGAGGTTAATCTGACTTGCATAATAATTTCAAATCTGGCTGTGATTTCACAAATAGTCTTACTTATATTCTATTTTTGAAACTAATAATATGGACTTAGTCAAAATATAATGATCTCTTGGGGAACGAATTCGGGGATGGGGGTCGAATTTATATTGATATATATATATATATATATATATATATATATATATATATATATTTGAAAATTACTATATATATATATATATATAGTATTTCCTTATATATTTACCGTCCCATCTTTCACTCAATAACTTTGGTATTTTTTCTGTTATTTTCTGTTTTTCAGGATTTGTTATGTCCTTTCCATTAACTAAGTTTCAACATATGAAAAAAAGACAAATATTTGTTATTAAATTTCAGAGGCCTTCAACTACTATTAGTTTAATCTGCATTAATAACTTCAGTTGACAGTTTTTATAATAAATCCAATAAGCTTAACAAATCATGTTGAAAGTACTTAAAAATAAACTCAACTTTTGTTTTGTCATCTAAATTAATTTTTAAAAAAATGACTGAAGACTTTTCAAAGTATATTCAAGTTATTGAGGTTTAAGTATTTTTCATAATAACTCCAGACGGATTGTTTATATATTAGGCAAATGAACGACAAAGAATTTTTTCCCACTTCGTCATTCATTTGCCTAACATCAATCTGATATATAGAAATTTATATATATAATTTATATATATATATATATATATATATATATATATAGGTAACTACACTCGTCTCGGAAAGCGCTATGAACATGAACGTCTGTCGAAAATAATCGTACAGCATAGAGGTCCAAAGCCCAAAGAAAAAAAACCGATACGAGTAATCAACTAACTTAAAAGTGCTCAATACAAAAAATGTAGAGCAGACCTTGTCAGACCTAGAGAGCCAGACAAACCTACCAAGGTTTCACTTAAACGGATCGTCAGGGAAACCTTTTTCTTATTCTTTTTGAATTTGTATATCTGATGAATTGGATCGTGATTACGATTTCGATATAAATTATAACCATGGAATATATATTAGTATTTGAGCCTTTTATATTATATATTATATTATATTATATTATATATATATATATATATATATATATATATATATATATATATATATATATATATATGTGTGTGTGTGTCTATGTATGCGCGTGTGTGTAAGAAACATGCATGTGTAACATTTCAGCGCTATCTTAAAAATTGCAAAAAAAAACCTTTTCTTAATATATTTCTTGCATTCGTCTTTATCTCATCTTTCTCTCTCTCTCTCTCTCTCTTCCACTCTCACTTTTTTATTGCTTCTCTATATCTCCCTCGTTTCTCTCTCTCACGCTTAGTTTCTCTATTACTCTCTCATTCATGGTTTCCCTGTTTCTCGATTTTCCCTTGCTAACTCTTGTTTTTCTCTCTTTGTTTTTCTCTCTTTCACTCTTCTTTTCTCTATCTTCTCTTTTCTTTTTCACACTATTGTTCTCTCTCTCTCTTTC